TCTGCAGTCATATGATCTGAACGTGTGCACGATCCATGGCGAGAGGTCCTGACATTTCCCATCAAAGCGTCGGGAAAAGACGAGCTGACACTGACAGCGACAACGACACGTGGGACAAGAAGCCGAGCACGACCGCAGAGCTGGCAGGAAGCAGAGGCTGAGGTCAGGAAGTTTTCTGTGTTCCTTACAAGGCGCAAGTAGCCATCTAGCTGCTGGGGATGAAGCCACTGCTTCTGAATGTGGGTCACTCTCCCTGGATTCCACTGTGCTTTCTCTCCTCGAGCCTTTATTTGGAGCCAGGGCATTTGAATACTGCATGTTATACCCAGGGCTCCGGAGTACTGCAAGGTTTCCAAGAGCCTTGTACTGTGCACATAGATGAGGATAATAAGATTCCAGTTTGTGTGTGTGTGTGTGTGTGTGTGTGCACTGCAATGCGTATTTGTTTATTGGGCAAAAAATGTCAGTGAGTCACCAAAATAAAAATTGGCAGCTCCACATTGACTGCATTTATATGCATGCAGTGACCTCGCCGCTGTCGTATAGAATTTTAATTCGGGTTACGCAACATACACGACTCTCTTTGCATCCTGCAACTAAGTGTCCATATGAATAAACAAATGAATAAAATATCTCTGGCTGTCCACCAGCTGCAGCTCTTGGCAAAGCAAAATGGAAATAATTATCATTTCATTAGCTATAGTTGAAATAAATTAAAATACGTACCAATGTTCACAGATGGCAAACCTAACGGATACGGGGACAAAAGCCCACGATAACACACAAGCTTTTCCCAGTGTTTTCAATGATCTGTCAGAATCTGCATTTGGCTCATTGAAATTACTCATTGTGTCATTTTTAACGGAAATTTTGTGGTTTAACTGAACGTGTTCACTGCCGAGAAAAAGGCTGGCTCTTTAACTACGAAATGGTCCAATGTATTCAAGGCTATTCACCAACTTTATCTGTCTACTGTGTGGTGCAGACAAAGCTTTTATGCTAAGAGCCACTCTCTGTGGCGTGTGCAAAGTGTAAAAAGAGCCTTTTTGTCAGCCAGAAATGCAAAACAATGAGCGGACAGGGGCTATGTCTGTAAGCTGCAGCTTCTTTGTGGGCCAGTTACTACAAATGACACCTTTCACATTATATGCAGTCAATTCCACCATTGGACAAGTGGAAAAACTCAAGTGAACCACTGTTGTGCTCGACACTGTTTACCACCAAAAAAATCCACAGTAGGAAACGTCACTGTTAAATTACAGT